ATTATTGTAAAATTAAGCGTGTAAAAATACGCATTTAATTGTGTAAAACACAGATAAAATGTGTAAAATATAATACGCGTATAAAGTGACTACAGATTTACACACTTGGATTTGGAGTGAATCAATATCAAAACGTTTTACAACAATGCTTATCATTTTTAACATTTCAACTAAATTTTTTGATGATTCAATAAAAATTAATTTTCATATCTGTATTCAGCAAAATTTTTAGACCTTTCAACAAAATCGTTCTTTCCATGTTTCGTCAGAAGCAACTCCTTAGAAAAATTTGTATAAAGAATAGAATTAATTATAGAAGAAGAAATGGTTTAGGATTTTTGACAGTTTTTTTTACAAAAAATGACGCTATAAAGTTAGTGGGTGTTATCTAAGAGATATATTCTGTATAAAAAAAAGCCAACATGAACACGGAAAGAATGATTTTCCTGAATCTAAAAAATTTAACTGGTTCAACAAAATAATTTTGTTGAACTATCAAAATAATTTCGCTGGAAGCTTAAAAATGATGAGCATTACTGTAAAATTGCTATTTTGATATTCTAGTTGTTTGAATTTTGAGCAAAATTATTTTCAAATCTGTACCCAGCAAAATTTTTAGACCTTCGAGCAAAATCGTGTAAAACAAGGGAGATAACTTTAATAACAATTGAAATTATTATTAAAGTTTTCAATTTTCTCACAAGGTATTAAAGGGTCTCGATTTACTTTCAACAGCCTTACGAACGATCGCGTCTTTGGATTTTTCCAACGCCAGCAATCGTTTCGCCAGGTAGTTACTCTATAACTTTCCCACGCAAGCCGATCAAGTATAATCTTACTCGCGACAGCACAGGCACATTTATCTTAAACTTCGCATACAGATCGATACACCGCGCGCACTCGATGCGAAACAAGATCTCCTTTCGTTTATCGTATTTGCTATCGCATGCGGCAGTGATCTCGTAGCTGCCGAGGATTAATGCGCGGATTCATCAATAAAACCGGTAGACTCGTGATTTAAAGCAGATCCGCGAGCGCGGGAGAACCTTTCACCGTTTCGCGACCGTGTACGTTTAAATGTTACCATCAACGACTGCAGATACGATCGATCCGGATCGTCATGCCACAATGAATCATTAATTGGTTAATAGATAGGAAATGTATAATAAATATTTAATTTGCAAGAACAGATCGTTTTTTATTTAATGATTCAATCGGATCTTCTCGCACGTTCTTCCGCCGCGAGAGAACTAATTCCCTCCCGGAAATGATTCTCTTGTGCAGATCGGCGACATAGTGAATCGTGCAGTAAAACGCGAGCCAATATCGCGAAACTCTGAGGTAAGGGGGATAATCTTTCGCAACATTTGGTCACCGTTTAAATGTTATACTGGCGACAGGCTGCACCGTCACGATTCGATAATTTCTTGGTACACCGTATAGGCACGTTATAGGCACAACATTTCTTGAATGTCGTTCGCCAAGTATAGCCGCTGTTGAACCGTATATGGGCGCAACGCCATGCGGTGAGCTTTAAAGAAAAATTACCTTCCATATATTGAGAAACAGAAGGCACTTTAATGAAACAATACATAAAAGGACGATTTTACTAAAAAATCTTATTACTCAGGAAAATGTTCCAGCTAGAATTCTAAATATTACACTTAAATTACACCGCTGTTTTTTGTATCTTCTAAAAAATTGTCTGTTATACGTAGAATTTATAGCAACAATATTCTAAGAATATATACAAGAAAATATATAGATCTCAAAACCAAATATGATTAGAGTCTAGACTGATTAAAACGTCATAGAGAAACTTTCTTGCTAAATTTGATAAATTCAGATATAATTTCTGTCTCTATTATCTTATATCTATATCAGGGTTGAGTAGTGGCTAATTAAAAAGATAAAAGTTAAATTAAAAAGTTAAAAAGTTAAATAATTTTAACTTAACTTAGTTACATTTTAGGCTCTTAACTTTTAACTTAATTTAGTTACATTTTATCGGTAACTACATATTAACTTTTGATCTAACTTTCTTAAAGTTACATTTTTAGTGTTTCTTGTAAACCCAAAATAAATATCATGTCTAACATTGTAAGTTAGTGTCTTTAAACTCAAATTTGAGAACACACATCAAGACAATTGTAATAATATAATAAATATAGTCTGACCGCGTGTTAAAAACTTAATATTGATAAGCAATGCCAAAAATTTTGATAATCCTATAACAACCAATTTGAGTTGCCAACATAATTATTTTGATAATGCAATAAAGTTATTTTCAGATCTGTGTGCAGCTTAGGATGTTTCAGTAAAATTATTTTCTCCGTTTCTTAACTTAAAAATTTCTATTTATTCATCACTATCTTATTATTAGATTGTGACATTAGAAGCAAGAAAATGCGCAATAAAAGTTCTTCCAAAATATATTAAATTGAAAATATATATGTTTCAATAAAGCAACACTTACAATTGATAGAACCGACTTGTAAAATATCTCGAAAATTCCCCTTTTTATTTTGTTAACTAATAACTATAAACTATACATATATCTAGAAATGAATTCTAGATTTGCAAAACAAAATAAGTTCACAGCTATACACGGAAAATAATTTTGCTGAATCCAGATCTAAAAATAATTTTTGTTCAATAATCAAAATAATTTAGTGCGAAAGTCAAAATGATTGTTAGAATATCAAAACGTTTTATAGCAATGCTTATCAGCTAGTTTTAACATTCCTACAAATTATTTCGATGATTCAGTAAGAAATTATTTTCAGATCCGTATTTAGCAAGATTTTTAAACCCTGCAACAAACATTTTTTTCATGTATGATAGTTGTTAAATTGATAATAGATAAAAATAAATTTAATTTCCTTTGCAAAACAAAAAGATAGTTTCCGATATTTTATACGTCTACACTATCGATTGCAATTGTTATTTTATTGAAAAACATTTTCATTTAAATATATTTTGCAAGAATTTTTATTGTGCATTTTCTTGCTCCTGACATCACAATCTAAGATAGTATTGATGAATAAACAGGGGCTTAATAGAAAAAACGATTTTATTAAAGTATTTAAAAATTTATTTAGATCTGAAAATAATTTTACTGAACTATCAATGCGATTATAGGAAACTCAGATATGTAAAAGGTAAAAAGGTAAAGAGGTAGAAATGTAATATATAAAAGTAGAATGTAAGTAGTACGAGAGTAGGGAATAGAGATAGGAAAAGGTACGGAAGGATGAGTGAAGAGAATATTTTGTAAACCAAGTCCCCTTCTTGGCTAATTTCTGTAAAGCTGAAGTAAATAAATTCCTATTCTATTATAGGAAACTTAGACCAGACAACATAAAGTCTAAAATTGACACATAAAATGTCTTTAAAACGTCTTTTAGATGTCTTTTAGCCACTTCTGCGGGAACAATCTAAAAGTTGTTTGAAAAGGACTAAAAAAGGCTTCTTATGATCATCGATTTTTGACCTTATTTTACATGGGAGACGTGATGAGTAAAACTGCAAAAAATTTTGACATTCTAGCTTAAGCGTCCTACATAAAAATTATTTTAATAGTCCAAAATATTATTTTCAGATATCTTTTAGCCACTTCTGCGAGAACTTATGTCTAAAAGTTGTTTAAAAAGAACTAAAAAAGACGTCTTATGATCATAGAATTTAGACCTTATTTTACATGGGAGGCGTGATGAATGAAACTGCAAAAAATTTTGACATTCCAGCTTGAGCGTCTTGCATAAAAATTATTTTCGGATATGTATTTATAGACAAATTTTGTATTTCAGACATGTATTTAGATAAATTTTTAAATACTTCAGCAAAGCCGTTCTTTCTGTCGTAATATTTCAATTTTAAAGATTTAAACTCTTATTTTGGTTGATTGTTCGTTGCACTTATATATACGTTAATGTAACATGACGTACGTCGCCGAAGGAGTGGCCGAAGCGTAGATATACGTTTACGCTATTTTGCACAGCGAGGTTCGCGCACGTAATTCCACGTGAATGTACTTCGCGGCTAGATAGCTCCGCATATACAAACGGAGAATCCTTGATTGCCTCGGGTAACCTTTCATTTACCCGATTTTGCATCGCCGCCGCCAGACCTCTCTCGAAAACGTAACATGCATTTCAGCTGGCGTGCGCGCGGCGCGCACGCGAACGTGCAATACACGCGTGCGTTTTCTATCTCACGGGCCGTTTCTTGCCATTAACTCCCACCTGTTGCACAAGGAACGTGCCGCGTGTGTATTATACGGTAACAGTCTCGCTAAGCCGCGACCGCGCCGCGCCGCGGCCCGTCACGATCAGACCCGACGTTTTATCTATGGATTGTGTGGAGCAATCCACAACCAAAAATCAGGTGGCTATGGATTTCCACATCCGAAAAAATCCACACCCGACCACAGAGATTTTTTAGCGGAGGCTGTAATAGATGACATTAATAAATTATTAAATGAATTTATAAGTAAAAATAATTATATAGAGCATCCATGTTTTTGTAAAAAATAAATAATTAAATGTTAAAAAAAAAATTGTGTACTTGAAAATTTTATCAACTACTGGTGGAATAGGGGACGTGGGGGGGGGGGATTTTTTATCAGAAATTTCCACAGTATTCCACACCTAGAGCCGAGACAAATCGCCGGGCCTGGTCACGATTATTGATCTTGTTATTACCATCGAAGAAAACAAAAATATTCCAACCGGATCGCTGTAACGTGTCCCCCCACCCCCCGTAAAACTTACGTAATAATAATGAACGCGGTTTTGTTTTTCGACGAAGTACTAAATACCTTCGCTCGGACCAAGCGCGAAAAAAGCATGTCAAGATCCGAGCAATTAGCTGGCTGGACCAGTATTAATATATCACGGCGAGTAGTTTTGTTTATCACAAGTCTAGAATCTTGTTCCGACAGAATTATTAATTCCAGACATAATTATTTTATATTAATTTATTTAGGTATTACTTTCTAATAAAATGTACACGGAAAGCACAATTTTGTTGAAAGGTCTAAAAATTTTCTTGAAAAACAGATCTGAAAACAATTTTTTGTTGAATTATCAATTAAATAATTTGTAGGGAAGTTAAAATTGATAAACATTGCTATAAAACGTTTTGATATTCTATCAATCATTTTGACTTTCGTACAAAATTATTTTGATTATTGAACAAAAATTATTTTCAGATCTGGATTCAGCAAAATTGTTCTTTTTGTATATATATAAATAATTTCATGCAACTGCAATTGTCAAAATCGATTGTAAATGATATGAAAAGCGTTTATAACAAATCTAGAATCTTGTTCTAACAGAGTTATTAATTCCAAACTATATTATTTTATATTAATTTATTTAATGTATTATTTTTCAATAAAATGTATATATAAATAATTTCATGCAGCTGCAATTGTCAAAATCGATTGTAAATAATATACGAGAAAGCGTCAACAAGTATATATGTGACAATCTCCCACGACATTCTGCACGTTTACTTTCCTTCTCTCACAATCAGTCGTAGATCTGATCATAATTCGTGTCAGAGCGGACAGAATAATTGGAGAATAAATGGAAAAAAAGTCTGTTCCGGGAATGGTATGTGCCAGAAGTAAATTACACGGTTTTGTGTCAGAGTACGTTCCACATGATTTCTTGCCATGATTTTAAAAAAGTAATCAATTATATTGTATTTGAAAACTTTTCAAATATAAATTTAAGTTTTAGTAAAATTATTAAATTCGTTTAGAAAAAATGTTAGAGAAAAATGTAGTCCGTTTTTTAAATAACTTATTATTTCGATAAATATACGATTTATAATATAGTTCAAAATTATCATTTCAATACATTATAAAATTAATTGTAGTTGATTTTTTAAATCTAAACTATTTTATATATGCTTTGTAACATTTGAAAATTATAATAGAAAATTAGAAAAATATACATTTTAGCAAAACTGTAATTTTAACTTATTAAATTTTATTAAATTATAAATTAATGTAGTAAAATTATTAAATTTGTTGTTAAGTAAATGTAGTCTGTTTTTTAAAAAATTTATCATTTTGATACATATATATATATATATATATATATATATATATATATGATTGACAATATGGTTTAAAATTATCATTTTAATATATTATAAAATTAATTTTAGTTGATTTTTTTTAATCTAACTATTTTATATTATATATGCTTCGTAATAATAAAAATTAAAAAATATTTCAGCAAAACTGAAATTTAAACTTATTAAATTTAATTAAATTATAAATTATAAATTATAAAAAAAATAAAATTAAAGTATAAAAATTTGATGTATCTTCTCTCAGTTTGAGAAAGGAACAATAATTACCTTTGTGCGAAGTAGCCTGTTTCTTGGACGTGACATCTTCGGTATTTACGATCGCCAGCAAATTATCCTGCAAAAGCACTGCAATGAGGAAGGCTACAATCCAGGGATCATTTTGACATCGCATGTTTCTGAAATAAGAACACAAAATCGTATTTATAGGGAAATTAATTTTTGTATCTAAAATTGTAAATCATTATTATTCGATTATTACTGCACGGAAAGAACGATTTTGTTGAAAGACCTAAAAATTTTGGTAAAAACAGATCTGAAAATAATTTTTTGTTGAATCATCAAAATAATTTGTTGAAATGTTAAAACTGATGTAAGCATTGTTACAAAACGTTTTGATATTCTAGCAATCACTTTGACTTTACACAAAATTATTTTGATTATTGAACAAAAATTATTTTCAGATCTGGATTCAGCAAAAATATTCTTTCCGTGTGGATTTTATATATTGTAATTTAAGTTTTCCCCCGTTTAATGTTACACCGAAAAAACGGTTTTGCTGAAATAAACTTTAGCTAGATTCAGATCTGAAAATAATTACGTTAGACCATCAAAATAATTATATTGGACGCTCAAGCTAACTGCTAAAATGTCAAACTTTTTGCAGCATTATCATGCTTGAGCGCTCTACATAATTATTTTAATGATCCAACATTATCTTCAATTCTAAATTTTTTAATTTTTTTAAAACCTTCCTTTCGGTGTAGCAATGTCTACGTGAAAATAATTTGGTACACGGAAAGAACAATTTTGCTGGATCTGAAAATAATTCTTGTTCAACAATCAAAATAATTTTGTCGGAAAGTCACAATAATTTGCTAGAATATCAAAACGTTTTATAGTAATGCTTATAATTTTTAAGTCTCCAACAAATTTATATTTTGACAATTAAACAAGACTTATTTCCAGATCTGTATTTTTAGCAAAATTTTCAACAAAATCGTTCTTTCCGTGCTATAATAATACGGAACGATATAATCATTGCGAAATGATTTATTCCGTGCACAAAATTAGCGTTATCGGTCGTTTTAAATTCTCGATTTAATTGCGAGAATAATAAAAAAATTGCTGCAATAAACGTTACGTATAGGACCTTTTGTGCGGAAATTAATCTTATAGTTTCGCACGTATACGATGCGACACGATCTCAAATTAAAACTATTTTACGAAGCTCTTGGTATAAGCAGCTGCTTTTATATAATGCCGGCTGAATATCATTCCTATTGAACGGGCCCTAATGCATATTAATTTCCGCGCGCATCGAAAACGGAAATTGAATTTACGACACAATGAGGCAGATGGCACGAGTCGCTATATTGCGTTACCTTGGTACTATTTTCATCTTCGCGGAGATAATACTTTCCGAGACTGCAGCACACGCGCAACACTTCCGAGTAAAATTGAATATTCCAGCTGCACGTCTTTCTCGCGCAAGTCTCCGGCGCGGGTATAAATTTTAACATTTTTTTTTCCTCAGATTACCTCATTAGGAATTTTTAATACGTACGGCAAATTCAGGGGAATTAAGGAAATGTTCCGCGAAGAAAATTTTCTTTGGCCTGTGGCCACTTATGTGTCTCTACGTTGATTCCCGCGTTGATCTTCATCTTATACTGACATTGCGACGGTAACTCAATTTCCCGTTGATGCATGGAAATTCAACCGCAACATCTGCGGTTCATTCGCGCTCACTTTCCGGATGCAATTTGCGTGACGTATCTTCACATGTGCGTACGCATCAAGAAGTGCATGCCATGTTAATGGAGTTTGTGGAGTAAGATCGCGCGGGCGTACAGACGTGCGCGCCGGCAAAACACAGTAAAAAACGTTTTTGCATTTATGTTAAAAACAGTCCACTCACACGGAAAGAACAATTTTGCTGAATCCAGATCTGAAACTAATTTTTGTTTAATAATGAAAATAATTTTATGCGAAAGTCAAAATGCTAGAATATCAAAGCGTTTTATAGCAATGCTTATCAGTTTTAACATTCCAACAAATTATTTTGATGATTCAACAAAAAATTATTTTCAGATCTATGTTTAGCAAAATTTTTAAACCTTTCAACAAAATCGTCCTTTCCGTGCACGTTCTCGTCTTGTTAAAATTTTGTGTCGAATTTTTAACATATTCGCTTGTTAAATTAACGTAATGTCATCATGTTATTTAAATATTTTGTGTTAAATTGATACTCAATACTTCTCAGTGTCAAAATAAAGACAATTTATAAGTAAATAAATAAATAACACAAAAATAAGGTAGTTTTAAATTCTAAGATAAATGAATACAAGGTAAATAAACTTGTTATTTTTACATGTTACAAGTGTTAAAATTTTACTGAAGAATAATGTTTCCACAATTTCCAATTTGTTTCCAAATTGTATTAAAGTGTTACATTTTTTGTGTTAATTTTTAAATAAAATGTTTGTATTCCTTTCTAACATATATTCATCTTGCGTTAATTCAACACAAAAATTTTAGTGGACCGTTTGGGACATGTAAAATGTGTTAATTTTCACACAAATTTTGTTCAGTGTATCAGTACCACAACTTTCATTGTCGCATTGTAGTTTCGTTTATTGTCACAAATTTATATGATTTATATGATACACGTATACGATTACAAATGGTTTGCACGAATTTATTTCGCATAATGATCTTTCTATTGCTTAGGGGATGGTGCCCTGTATCGTTTTAACGCGTAGGGACTTATGCCCTGCCGAAGACTCGAACGCGTAGGGGCTTGTGCCCTGCCGAAGTCTTTAATGCTCATCCACGAATGGATTTAGTTTAATAAATTTACTCTTACTTGCCGAATCCTTGCTCCATATCTTCAATGCGTCTGGGAACCTGGGAATGGCTTGGAGTAATTTTAAGATTCGAATTTCCGATTCGCGGATCTCTTTCGCACATAGTGAACCGGCAAATTTATTACTCGGACGAATTCGAAGACAATACGCGATAACTCTAAGTAATTTTTAAAGGACGAATATTTATCAAACAGGCCGAGATCATTATACACGGTGGCCAAACAAACGTTCTTTTTTAATTCGGGTACTTCGATTAACCGTGTGATCTCGTTCGGCCATTTACATTCCTCCTCGATTAACCATAAAGGCCCCGCCGTCCACGCTCGACTTTTTATCACAGCGTGGTGCGGCATGTAATATCCGTCATTTCCAGGATCTTCTACGACAGATAAACACCTTACCCTTAAGTAATCATCGATCACTTGCGTGTATTTACACGAAAAGAACAATTTTGCTGAATTCAGATCTGAAGATAATTTTTGTTTGATAATCAAAATAATTTTGTGCACAAGTCAAAATGATTGTTAGAATATTAAAACGTTTTATAGCAATACTTATCAGTTTTAACATTCCAACAAATTATTTTAATGATTCAACAAAAAATTATTTTCAGATCTGTTTTCAGCAAAATTTTTAGACCTTTCAACAAAATCGTTCTTTCCGTGTATCCTTTAATATTTTATTCGTTGCGAGCCTACGTTCCAATGACATTAGACGTTTAAGCGCCATCGCACGATTCACCGAGACGCTTGCTGTTTTTATGAAACGGTAATCGAACTATGTATCGCCCGTTTAACCACGTGCACGTTCAAGCATTTCCCGAGGGATTCCGAAATGAAGTTTGCCGTAGCACCGCTGTCCACACTGAGAGAAAAGTTTAGTATGAACAACCAAAATTTTGTTACTGATACCAAAACTATGTGTTGATATGTGACCAACTAAACTAACATGTCGATATTAATTTGTTGAATTTATTGAATAAAATTACCAAAATAATTACA